CGTAGCCGAAGGAACTATGAAAAAGGGAGAGAGTTTTTAGTGTGTTTGGGGTGAAATGAGCTATACAGGAGATAGCCGTGTGAATCCATGGGTTTGTAATAAACCGAAGTGGAGAGTTGGGGGTAGGTAATGGAGAAGTTGATGTCTAGAAAAAGAAGAGTAGTGGAAGATATGTTAACTGTATATTTGAGGGACGGGTGGAACTGGTGAAATGATGCAGGAATCACTCAAGCTGGTCGCTGGAGCATGTGGTGGCACTGACGCAGTCATCAATATATCGCTTGTAGAGGTCAGGGACATAGCCAGTGTAGGAAGCGAAGAAATGTTCTTCTACCCAGCCGACAAAAATATTGGCATAGCTGTGTCCCATTCTGGTGGTCATGGCAACTCCTCTCACCAGTTTGTTAAAAAGGTTATTGAAAGAGAATGCATTCAGTGTGAGGACCAATTCTCCAAGGGGTACCAGGGTGTGGGTAGGTGGATCAAGCACTGTGCGTTTGTCCAGCATGTGCTTGAGGGCTGTAAGGCCATCATTATGGGGAATGACGGTGTAAAGAGATGTGATGTCCATGGTAAAATGTAGCATTTGGTGCCCTGAAATTGGAAATCATTAAAAAGTTGGAGCGCGTGGTTGGTGTCTTTGATGTATGAGGGAAGACCTTCAACCAGCGGTCTCATAAGGCTGTCGAGAAAGGCTGAGATGTAAGTAGTCAGACAGTTGCATGCTGATACGATGGGGCGTCCAGGGGTGTCCGGTTTGTGGATTTTGGGGAGGAGGTAAAATTGAGATACCTGCGGATGTTCCATGATGAGCCGGTTTGCCTCCTGGGAGAGCTCATTACTGCTGATAAGAAGGGAAATGGTGGATACCACTTCCTTTTGGTAGTCAGTGGTAGGGTCCTGTTGGAGAGGGAGGTAGGCAGAAGTGTCAGTTAGTTGTCTAGAGGCTTCAAAGATATATAGGTCCTTATGCCACAACAGCGCCTCCTTTGTCCGCTGGTTTGATGATGATATCATCTCTTTTGTGGAGAGATTGGAGCGCCTGATTTTCTCCTTGGGTGATGTTGAACCTGTGTTTACTGGGTATAGAGAGTGCCTTGGCAGCTTTATTGATAGATAGATAATACTTTATTAATCCCGTAGAGAAATTGATGATTGGTGCATTAGTTAATGAAATAATCGACTGGTGGAAAACGGCCAGAGTCCAACAGCTCTGTTTGGGATTAATGCTGGATTCAATAACCGGATTGTTGTCAGCTGCCTGTGAAGAGGAATTGTCAGCAAAATGTGCTCTGAGACGGATCCTGCGGTAAAAGTATATATACAGTATAAGGTCAACATATAATATATATATTGCCAGGTGGAGCTGCACACTGGTGGTGGTGGAGGGGTGCCCCATTACCTGTAAAGCGCTTTGAGTGGAGTGTCCAGAAAAACTCTGTATAAGTTATAAGTCTTGTTATTGGCTTTTCAGGCTTTAAAAATCTGGCTCCACCATACAGTACATCTCTTAACTTCTTCATGTTTACCCTCACTTTGCGAGGCTCAGTCGGTCTAACTCGGTCACTTGAGTCTGGTCCTTTGCTAGCATGTAACTTTCTTTGTGGATTCACTGTTTTTTTACCCTGGCCTGACCTCCTGACCCACGTTTTCAGATAAACATCTACTTGTACTATTGAGTTCTGAGGATTTGGCATAGGGTCCTTTTTCCAGATCATTATAGCCTCTACTTAGGATTATTTCTTGATGATAATATTTACATCACTTTCTTGATTCATAATTAACCTTATGAAGGTATCAGAACAATTATTATGAGTTTCATTAAGATTCTTACTGCCATGAAGCAAACAGCTTCTCCATTTCTTAACAGAGGAAAGTCTTTATTTATATTGAGGATACAAATGTGGTTTGCTATATTAAGAAAATGAATTAAACTCTGCTATTTGTAAACAAATGTTTAATACTTGAAAGTGAAGCAACCTCATATTTCAACATATTAAAGTTCTTCCTAATGAAATATGAAATCCCTTTGACAACTTATATTACTGTATTGTCAGTTTTGAGTGTGCAGTTTTGCCACTTTTACACTGTAACCTTGTTCTACATGAAGATATACAGTATGAACAATCAGCAGATAAACGGACTCATTTCCTATCAAGATATTTTAATCTGCAACAGCCATGATCATTGCTAATGACTGTTTTTGAAATAGTGCATTTGAATTTTATAACTTAATTTAATTTATTATGTATGAAGGCATTTTGATACTTCATAAAGCACAATGCTACAAAGTAAAATCAGGGTTACTCACTCACTGCTCATTGTTTCTCACTGTATCTTCCTACTGTGGAATACTAATTATTTAGCAAGCTTGTTTACACATGGTCACCTAATAGAAAGCTAATGTGTCTTAGATTCTTTATTGAAATTAAAATTCCAAGACAGGAAAAAAACAGGACAAAAGCTAATTTAACCAGTAACTGCACCCTTTCCTGGAGTTAACTGGTGCTGCACGTACTGTACTGTAGCTTGTTCATGATGGAACATAGACTGAAAGATAACACAACCACAAAAAGGGGAAAAAGATTTTTATACCACAGACACTGACGTCAGTTCATGAGAAACTGAAATCAGGAAATGGCCAGAAGGCCATGTTTGTGACAGAATGAATTATTGAAGTGCCATCTTGCCACATTTGGATTTTTTTCACATGTACCCATATGTTACCTTATGCTGAGTTATGTTTAATTAAGGACTCATTCAGTCAATCCTAGGCAATAATTATTTTAAATTAGTTAACTTAAGTTTAATTCATTTTAATTACCAAACATTTAATATGGGGTAAAACTATACCTTCAAACAGCCTTTTATGTTCAATTTGAAAATATATAATATACCATTTCTGAGTATTTTCAGATTTCAGCTGATAATGCATTGCTCATCTTTCTTCGATTTTCTTTAATAAAGAAAAATAGTAGACTCAACAATTATTTTTCCCACAAGTCTGGAATTGCCAGCTGTGAATTAGTTCAGCTTTTTTCAGAGCTCACGCTATGAGCCCTGCAGCAGGGTTAAGCATCAGGCAGAGCTCTCACTGTTAACACTGCAACTTAAGTACAACTGAAATGTGTGTGCGCAACAAAATAGAAAATGGGCAACAGAACATCTATTTACATCACAAATGAACACAATCAAAATGAAAGACTTTACTAGTTTTTATTCATTACCCATCAATCAATCAATTAATATTTTATTTACGTGATTTTTTTAAATTTTAATTATTCTTTCAATACAGACTGTATTCTGATGAAATTACTTTGGTTACCAACTCATTTTTTTTCCCAAAAGTACCTGTAAATAATGTAGTTGTAATTTTAATGATTTGATGAAAGCCAGAGACTTGCATCATAATGAAACTAAAATGTACATATGATAGGTACAGTAGAAATTATCTTATCTCTGATAAACTGTGACATATAATAAATGCTTCAGACTGAAACATTCTGAAACCTTGTGTATAAGTTAAAAACAAGCTATACAAATATTAAATAAATAAATAGGTCAATTTTATGACATTACAATAGGCAAATTTTACAATATGAAACACCTCAAATATTTGTTCATGGTCATGACAAAATATTCTTTCAATGAGTTTTTTTAATGAAGTACATGCTTGTTCAATGACAAGCAGATGGTGCTTTTTAGCTAACAAATTCCTTATTGCATTACTAATGAGGTTAAACTGTGTCTCATCAGGCATGAGACATTCGTTTCTCTGTTTATCAACATTATTGGCAATCCCCTGTTACGGAATTGGGCTGTACATTCTGACATGAAGATGACAATGAATGTTTGATTTATGAACATTTTCTTTCCCACATCATTACATCACCAACGTTACTGGATCTGAAAGGTTGAAGTAAATGTTAAACATCGAGATGTGTGAAATATATATATATATGATAAGATAAGATCTTATCATATATTATTAGCCATATATAATTTCTTGCATTAGGGATTTGTCTTTTCGCATACACCAACTTGCTCTCCATGAGACACACAGACAGGGAGAAAAGCTTGGGGTCAGAGCACAGGGTCAGCTATTTATATGGCGCCCCTGGAGCAGCTGGGGTTAAAGGCCTTGCTCAGGGGCCCAATGGAGCGGGATTCCTCTGCCGGCCATGGGATTTGAACTGACAACCTTCCAGCCACAGAACCACTGCTCTGCACCGTGAAATATGTGTGTGGAATATGTGAAACATTGAGATATATATTGTCAATGCATGTATTTGTTTTTTTAAACAGTTAAACAATTCCAAAAACCTTAAGAATAAACCCAGATTTTGTTGCAATTCATGGTTCTTCGCACCACACTTTTATTTCTCTACTCTATTTGTGCTCCAAAATCAGATATTTTGTTCTTCACAAACCCACCAATGAAATACATAGCTTTTTATCCAGATTTATTTATCAGTTTATTTTATTTCTATTTCTATAAACTTTAGAGCTGAGTAATTGAAATGTACTGAAAAAAAAAAGTTTTGTACTTCATGAGTGCTGTGAAGTTGGCCTGCCCACCCCTGCTGCATGCTGTGCCCCCTGCTGTACCTGTGAGCATGAGAGACTTCACTTTGCACTTTCTGACCGATTCTTCAAACTCTCCCCTTTACTGTGTACCAGTGCATTGATCAGCCCCCTCTGACATTCACACAACCCCGAACTGAGCGCTTCCTCTTATTTGATTAAACTATTGCACAGGCAGTGGACAAAAAAAATGTAAACACCAAGTACATTGAAAAAAAAGGCTTCCACACAGATGTGGATCACATGTTAATTAAGCAAATGACATCGAAGTCGTCTTATATCATGTATACAAATTCTAGACAGGCCTGGTTACCTATAATTATGACTAGCATGACAGCAAGAAGAGACCTCAGTGAGTTTGAAAGAGGGGTGATTATTGGCATGTTTGGTGAAGTGACCAAGACAGCTCAACTTACTGATGTTTCTTGAAAAATGGTGTCGGACGTGAGGTCAGCATGGACCTATGAAAGAAAGAGACCATCAGCGAAGGGCCGCAGTGGCGAAAGAGTGTATTCCAGGTTCATTATATAAGTGTTCTCATTTAAATTGCAAGAAAAAAAGGTGACCTGCTGCAGATCAGTTGACTGCCAATTTTGACATGAGGCCATGAGCATCAACGTTTATCAAAAACAGTCCACCAAGTACTTCACAAGGTGGGAAACCAGAGTCATACTGCAGTGCACCAACTCATCACAGCTGACAGTGCACATTTCTTAGTCCTGTAGTGTAAAAAGCACAGGAAGTGGACTACTGTGCCAAAGTGCATACAGGCCATACTGACAACAATTGATGCCCTAACACCCCATTAAATTACTTTACAATGGTGTTTCCATTTTTTTGCTCTCTATATTTTTTTACCTTTTTAAAATATATTTTACATATCTTTTTACTTATTTTTTATTTTTCTTTTTTTGGTATTTATCTTCAGCACATCAGAACTTCTGTGTTTAAAACATTGCTGTGGCTCACTGTATAGTCATTTATAGTCATTCCTTCAGCCGCATATATTGCAGGACGCAATGAGTGTCTACAGCTTTAACACTTGTTAGACAGCTTGGCCAAAGGTAAAATCAAGTAAAAGAAAATATATTATCAGCAAAACCTTTTTTTTCCCCTGTGATGTGTATTGGATATTGGTCAGCATCAGCAGAGGTGCATAGGCAGTCACATTCTTTACCACAAAATTATTTTATACATATTTAGTGAAGCAGTTGCACTACAATGGTATTTATTTTCCATTTATACACTTCCTTCATTAAAATGGCAATTTACTGGGAGCCCCAGAATGAATCATGTCATTGAGCTGCTTCAGTGTTTCCCTGTTGTTTGCTCTGACAGGTTTTTCTGCTGAATGGCTAAGCTGGAGCCGGTCCAACTCAGGGAAGCTGGTGCTGCATACAGTACAGAAGATAAACCCTAATTAAATAACTATCATGTACCCACTACTGGTCTTAGAATCTACCAGCTAGGGTAAGAATTGCACATGTGTGCAATTTATTTGGGCACATGGTTGTCAGCTTTTTATCTTCATCTATTTATTTTCAATCTTGTAAATCTGCTTTTTAGATGAAAACTCTTGACATCCTTTCATACAGTAACAGATTCTTAACAACCTTAAAAAGGATCAGGATTAATGTGTTTTCAAATTTTCAATATTGGCTCTCCATGCAGAGGACATTTACTTAAAATATATTCTTTGTACAGTATGTTCCAAAAACAAGTGTGTTAAATGAAAACAAATGAAATGTAACAAGATAAAAATAACAATAATAACTCAAAATGTGATCACTTATTTCTGTGAAGCTCTGTGAAAGAAGACAGACATTTTCTCAAGGGAACCAGTGATACTGAAATTCATTTCTACTGTACAATATTCTCATGCTTGTTGTTATCCACTGTACAGGCCAAAGCCAGAGTACCTGAGGAGATTAAACTATAATATCAGTCTAAGAAACAGGTCTTTAACCCTTGGAATGAAGAATTGAATAGATCAGAATTTATTCAATAACACAGTCTCCTCTATGAATTGAAACTTTTACCTGTACAATATTCCCGGTTCAACATGTCCTTTAGTAAAACATGTTTCTTGATCTAGACATTTTTAAAATATTTCTGTGGCTTACTGTATAGTAATTTTTAGTCATTCCTTAAGCTGCATATAATGCAGGATGCAATGAATGTCTATATCTTTAACATTTGCAAGGCAGCTTGGCTGAGGCTTAATTAAAATCTTGATTGAACATTATCATATTGCAATATTGCAAGATGCAGTTATGCTCACATGGCTCTGGTGCCCTTGGTGTTTCAGCAGTGCTGCACTGTAACTGTCAAAGGCCTCAGTTGTGACAGCAGGTGCACTGGAGTTGTGTTCATCAAAAATTTCAGTCTATTCAGTAAGTTCAGCACAAATAGTTGCTCTGTGTCTTGAATGCAGGTCACAAAAAGGCGTGCCGAAAGCGGGTAGTTTATGTGTTTGTTTTTTAAACTAGAAATTGTGACTTTTTAGCTTATGGCCACCTATTTTCCCTTGGTTTATATGTTGCCCCTGCATTCTCACATCTTACATTACTTTAAGCTAAAAAGATAAAACCTTTCAAATTATTATAGTTTACGCTTTCTCAATATTCATTTAAATCAGTTTGGTGTCCAGATAACATTGTGAAGTACTGTACAGACCAAGATACAGCTTTCAGAAAACTGAGATTATTTATATAAGAACTGTGATTTCTTTAATACTATATGCTTTTTATAAATGGGAAATTCTGCTGAAAACCGGAATAGCAACACACCAGGAAAGACATGTAGCATAAAGTCGTATACCCTACATATTACTTCATTGACAAGGTCCTGGCTACACTACTGGAAATTAAGAGGTCACAAGCTTAGCATTGAAAATATGAGACACTAGATGTATTTTCACAAAGAGCTGTTTATGTCAGGATCCAACTTCACAGCCATGTTGAATTTCAAGCCTTAGAATCCCACAAGGAATATCTAAATCAAATCTAATAAAGGCAATATGGGCTGAAGAACCACTCCCCATTTTTAAATTTCTTATGTTCTTGTAAAATGTACTTATTTTTCATGTTTTCATCACCTACAATGACGGCTCAAAACAGCTCTGGTTTTTAAAAATCCACATTTTCATCCAGCTGATATTTTGTTCTGGTTCAGGCTCTCTACTTCTTAAATGTACCTAATATTTATTTGCTAAAAATTAACATGTCTTCAGATCCCCATTGTTTCAAAGATATCTGCAGGGACCCCCAATGCTGACTACTTTGGATTATTCACATCCCAAGGGAAATGTTTCTTTATAATGCGATTGCAAATATATAATTTGGACAGATGTGTGGTTGATAGGGCCACTGCCTAATGGCTCTAGCACCCTGGTTCAAGCTTCTCACACCTCTCTTTTCTCAGCCTGCATGTTCACGTTGGTTTTTGCCTGGCATTTCAATTTCTTGACATCTCCCAATGATATGAAGGATAGATTGGATTGGCTATTTAAAATCGCTTTTTTTCTGTGGTGCTACAGTGGACTGCTGTCTGTTCCTGAGGGTAGAGTAATTGTGTGTTCTCAGTCCTGTTTTACGCCCTATGCTTCTGGAACACACTCTAGTTGTCCATGATGATGAATGAGATGAACCAGATAACAGCAACACATTTTGTATTGCAGCAATGTAGCCAATCACTATGTGGAAAATGTAGAGATCTGATTTGTAGGCAGCGATTTAGGTGAGAGTAAATCTTATGCATTTGCAAATCATTGCAATCACGTAAAATCTCATTGTTTTGCCTTAACACGAGAGCTTCACCATTAATCCAAGAAGCAGTTTTAACATTTCAGATTGTGGATGCAGAAGATGGACACTGACCTCAAAGTCAGAGCCAACGAGACTGTCAAGCATTATTATGTCAAACCCTAAGACTGGAAGATAGTGATTCTGCCATCTGAGCATAACACAGTAAATAAAACCTCTTGATTAATACAGAAAGGCAGGCATCACCTGGGACTGTCTCTAATCCATGTATGGACCGTTACTGATTTCACCAGCCTCACATCAAAGTACTATATCAAAAACCCATGAACATAGATTATTACTTCCAACATAACTTCTCCGCAGTCTTTAGAGAAAGTGTTCATGGATGCACAGATATTTTCACTGGAAAAATAAATTTCTTTTTCATACAGTATATTACTGTACCTAACTCTCAACATGTTTCCATGACAATCCATGTCCTCATGCTTGCAATGCCAAAAGCAAGAGGAAACTCATAAATTTCATATGGTGCTGCCTGTATATCCACCAAAGCACAAGGCCGGAGATACACTGGAGCAGCTTAAGAATAAGAGAGTGAATGTCCTTGAGTGGCTGTGCAAATCTGTGCAAAGATTTGAAAACAGCTGTCTATAAGCTTCCCAAGCAACCTGACAGAGCATGGGCACATCTGCCAAAAATTGCACTGAGCCGGTATGCAAAGGCGATTGAGAATTACTCAGAAAGACTTGTATCTGTAATTGCCAGCTTTCACCTAATGTTGGCTTCACGGGTCTGAATACTAGCGTACTCTTCACTCGTCTGAATACTAAATGTTGCAATCAACATTTCATATTTTTTACTTTATTTTATTTTTTTTTACATTTACTATAACTTATCTTACACTTAGATCCCTTTAGTTTATTTTGGTCAGGTTTTATTCAATTTGTATTATCTAACCTAATGCTATATCAGAGAATTAATTCTGTATTTTAATTGCAACTGATAATAAATTATTTTACAACATTTTTTACAAATATTATATACTAGTGGTCTGAGTATATTAAGCTACAGGTTGTTTGATTTTAAACGAGTTAAATCGTGTCTCTCCCCCCGACAGGGCACGCGCCCCCAGATGTGCACGCGCGCCGTCTCCAGCCCGCAGCTGAACGCGCCGCCGGTCTGAAGCAGGAAAGTTACATTCCCGAGGAGCGGCTTCCAGGTGGAAACACATGAGCATTGCACGATCAAGGCCGTTTTTCATGAAGGTGGTTGATTAAACCAAAAACTAAATATCGTTGCGAAAACAGTACTATGAATCACAATGAGGTTAAGCTTGTAGACTGCACAAGATTTTAATTACGCATTTTTAAGAAATAGAAGAAAAATAAAACCCGATAAAAAGTACGGAAAACATGTATTAAACTATACGCTGAACCATCGTAATACAGCTGTTCCAGTAGCAATGACTGGCAAGGTCGGTAGGCGCTCCTGTATGAATTACGGTGACTTCATGCTTCACTACATTTTATTTCACCCCCCACCCCGCCATGTTAGCGTGTTGCAGATCTCTCTAGTCAACTCCGTGCTGCAGGTGCAATTGCTTGTAGTCGCTGATAGTCGGGCTTCTTCAAACACCCATCAAGCCTTGGTTATTTCCTCAATTTCCACAAACAGTTCTGCTTCTGCTTACCTCTTGCATTTTGGTGTGCTACCGCGGCTGAGGCGGCTCATTCTGCAGTTTGCCTGGGATCGCAGTGCCTCTTAAAGAAACATCCTCCACTCTTTCTGTTTGATCCTGTTGTGTCTGTTTGGGTGGATTAAATTTTTAATCAAAGACTTCTTTGCACGTCGGCGAATTTGATATCGTAATTGCCAAGATTCTGAATTTAACCCATAAAATCAGGAGGTGGATGTATAACCAAATGCTGGAGGAGAACCATTCGAATAAAATTCGTTTAACTCTTTGAAGCAATCCGCAGACAGGTTGGAAGACGAGGTCTCGGCACTATTCAACTACGGGGAAATACGAAAAACGAGATTAAACACGTTGTTGAGTTTTCTAACCGAAGTTGGAGGTTGCGTGTCTTGCAAAAATATGTTCAGGATGGATTTACTCAATTTTAAAGGATTGCTCCTTAAATAAGGATTGATGAAGAATTGCTAAATCCCCTTTTTGTAAATCTTTTCCTCGGAAGATTGCAAAGGTGGAGCGATTAGGAAAGGCTGATGACGGACCTATTAATCCTTTCAGTGCATCAAAAGCACGAAAAGGTCTTGGAAACGTTTGGATGGAAATCAGGCGAATGTTTAGACCTGTTTCTAGTTTTATATGAAACTGGTGACTAGTTTTTTTTTTCCCCAGGGATATCTGTTTGCGCCTCTCTAATATGCTTTTTTGGTGGTAGGGTAATGATCTTTGTTATCCATTTTTGAAATTTCTAATATATCAATCTTTTCCACTTGAAGTATTCCTGTATCTAAATGGAATTAGTTGAGATTGAAGCCCCTTGTAAAAGGAACAGACATGGTACATGGGCACAGTTTGGTTCACGGTGAGTCTGATTTTAATAGTTTAAAATGAATATTCACCACTTTCAAGGATCTGGATACGTGATGTAGCGAACAGTAACTGTTTTTAAAGTGCTTTTAGTGGTCCGGGTGTTAAATTAATACAATCTGTTTTTTCAAAGGAGGATGTATTGGAATACAATAGCATATTGTGTGATCTAGTCGGGTGTTTTAATGCTCCTTACACCCTAAGGAAATGTGTGACTGCGGACAGTGACAATGTTTGGGGAATATAGCCCATACTGTACCTTTTCTATTTGCATTTTGTGCAATGGTGGGTCCTGTTTGCTTTAGCTACAAACGTAAGACTCCTGATTTGATTATTTAGAGGGGTTAGTCTGTGTTAATGTATAGCACCATTTCTAAATTTATTCGACTATTTTTAAAATGAAAACTTTTCGAGCTTGGTTATCTGTTTGCTTTTCCTTTAGGTTAGTAAATATGTAGAAATCCCTCCTTTTGGAGCGTCAAAATGCAGTAGATCACCCTGCTAATATAAGAGTATGATTTCCACAAAGTACCGAGAGATCTTTCAGGGCACTATAAGAACATCAATGTTTTTTTAAGGATTACTATACTATGAAGATTTTCAGTTGTGATTTTTTGTGTGAGGTTGTTTAATCTTCATAAAGGTAGCCTACATATGACTGATTGGGTGTACGAGAGTACATACAGTACAGTATGTGAAATAATAACTGTATCTGCCTTTCCGGAGTATATATTTGAAGAAAACATTGCAAAAAGCCATTAGAAAGAGGGTGCTGCCGAATGTTCAACCCCCCCAAGCAAACACAAAATCACTCATCTTGGAGAGAAGAAAACTAGCAGTTTTGTCTCCACCAAATTCCTTCTGTTTCTTTGTTCCAGTTGTTGCAAGTCTCATCATACTTGGGTTGTCTGGGGCAACAAAGAAGGGGACAGGTAATACGTTTTATTGATTTAATATCTATTAATCATTTTAGAGCTTGTCTTGGTTGACGATGAAGTCAGTAATTGGCAGCACTTCTTGTGTCCAGCCTAAGACACTTGAGGATGTGTGCTTCAGAATGCATGTTTCATGACCAAGGTCATGTGTATGGCAGGCGAATGCTGTGGAATATGATTTGCTGGTAGATTTTTCTTTTCCATCCAACATGATTTATAGGCAGGTGTTTTTTTCTGTGTTCAGTGAAGAACAATTCAGGAGTGCAGCCAGCAGGCCAGTGTGGAACCTGGATCAAAGACCCGGAAGGGGGTCTTTTCACTTCTCCAAACTACCCCAACAAATACCCTCCAGAGAGAGAGTGCATTTACATAATTGAAGGTAAATACTCATATCTGAGAACAGTCTACTTTCATCTAATAATAACTTATAACTGAAATAGATTTCAGTGAATGTCCATTTTCATGTTTCATATTTATTATAAGCATTACACTGCAAAATAACATATTTCCTCATTGCAGTTTTAATGCAGGGTGCGGAGATTGTGTGTTATACAATTCCCTTAATTTGAGGAAATTGTTTTATCCGTGTTTGTTATCTTCCTTTCCGGAGTATATTTCCGGTTTTAGTTAGCATTCTGATGTGATTATTAATAGATATAATTGTCATCTTTTAATAAGGTCGATTGCTCTTTTCTAATTTCTTTTGCATCCATAAATATGCTTTATCAACTTTAACAAGACTACTTTTCAATGTAACTCCTTCACGTGATATTGGTTGGGAAGATATAAAAATCAGGTTTTTGTCCTTTTTAAGTTTCAGACAATTCTAAGCAAGATTTATAAAATGATCTGACTCTGTGATAGCCGAAATAAAAAATCAGTACCTAATAAGAATTTAGTTTCTAATCAATTTATATTTTCACAAAACAGATGAATTCTCCTAATTGAGGCAAATCATTTTCAGGTTAATTGTCTTTTGGGGTGTAACTATGGGGAACCATGTGCCAATAATATGTCTGAAAGTCAATAATTACAGAAGCTTTATAAAACATTGAGCACATTTCTAGAACCCTAGACGTCCATGTGCCTTTAAGGCAACATGTTTTCACATCCAATTATCTTGGATGGTCATGGTCATTAAATATTAAACTATTAAAATTACAATTAATAAACTACTTTTGTGAACTCAAACTGCATATTTTAAACTTGCACAATGCATACTATCCAATAGTAGTGTTCTTTTTAGTAGTTGCTGAGTTCCGTGATTTATAGTTTGTTTTTCTTGTTTCTTTTGTAGCTGCACCTAGGCAATGTATTGATCTCTTCTTTGATGAAAAATATTCAATTGAGCCTTCATGGGAATGTAAATTCGACCACATTGAAGTTCGAGATGGGCCATTTGGCTTCTCCCCAATAATTGGACGCTACTGTGGACAGCAGAGTCCACCGTATATAAGATCTAGTGGCCGATATCTTTGGATAAAGTTTTTTGCTGATGGCGAATTGGAAACAATTGGGTTTTCTGCCAGATACAACTTCACTCCAGGTAAAGATAACCTTTTATTCATGTTTTCATTTTCACAAAACTGTGTACTCTCATATCTTTACATTTCGATTTGTTTGGGTTTCCCAGTGTTATATGCGTGTAACTTGTTTTCGTGAAAACCCTAGCTAGTTACACCACTATATTGTTTGTGTCCTTGGCTGCTCTCAAATTCAGGATATGAGAGGTTGCTTACATCTTAAAATTATCTGCTTCTGCATCACAAATTCCTTATTTACTATAGTTTACATTTTCATATGCTGTAACATATATTCTTACTATTATATATTAAAATGTAAACTATGCAGTTGTATGCTGGAATAAAATGATTGTTCTCTGGCTTTTTCATGTGGACTCTGGCTTTGAAACAAAGCCCACAGGAGCTGTCCATAGTGCTGAAGCCACACATTGTCAGGCTGGTTCAGGATGCCCACCATTAAATGAGATAGATTGGCCAGATAGACTTCTCTCATTTTTGTATCTGCTGCCATAAAACAATGAGAACAATTCAGACATAGCATATGTACTCTAGAAGTGTATTTTCTGTTTTAATATCTAATTAAAAATAATGATTTAACATGCTCATACAGCATTTTAAATGTGGCCTATAATACAATCCACCATGCTTTTGAATGAAGGAATTTTTAACCTTCTGTTCCAAATTCTGCTTTTCAACAGCTTTATGATTGACACCAAAGCCACTCAGCAGTAGAGTAACTGCTGAATGGTACTGTATGCTTAAAGGCAATGGTTTTAATTTTCTTGATGCTGGTGACATAATGAAAGAAGACAGTTTATGGCCAGACAGTTTAATCAGGAAATGTATTTACCCCTTCATCAAATAGGCTTTGTTCACCTTCTGAAAACATATAGTGTGTCTAAATGCCATAATGTCAAAAAGCAGTTCATTGAGCTTCTTTAAATCCCCAAAAAATCCTGAAAGGAAAAATAAGGTTTTATATTATAAACATGTATGTAGTAATGCTGAAAAAAAGCCTTAAAACAGTATTGATTATGTCTTAATGGTGTTCACAAGTATTGAAGCCATCTGTAATTTGCTGTACTGATGTATTGATTATGTTGGATGGTGTCAGGGATGATGTCTTTGATGGTTAAGACCTTCAGTCTCCAGTACTAAGCAAGCATTTTCTCAGGGACAATTGCTCAAATTAAAGGACAGTAACAAAAGCCTTCATCTAGTTGGCAAGATGAGACAAACCTTACAAATAATATTCAGTAGTAATGGAAGAAAAGTAAATGCTTATCATTTATTCAATAAAAATAAAAAAAACTAAATAAATTATTTATTTGTAGATTTTGTGTAGAAAAACTGAGGTATATGGTGAATCGGGCATTTGGGAGGGAATTTTGGGTTAAATATTATTTCCTTTGTTAAGCAAATATTATAAAATCTTTTCTACTGTATATTCATTCTTTGCATTAACAAAATTTCCATCAGCTGTTCTCAACATTCAACATTTTTGTATGATTTAGAGGTTAACTGAATTGTGCCAGAACATAATTCCTCAGAAATTAGAAATAGCACAACCTTTTGTCTCAAGGCTTTTCTAAAATCCCTTCTCATCACTCCATGATATTGCACTTCAACTCTTATACTATAAGAAGATTTTTTAGTTCCAATGGAATTGGTTGTAACACTTGAATAAACTATAGTACTATTCAGAAATATTGGTAAGAGATCTAGAAAAACATTCTTCCTCACAGAGCTCCTAGAGCATGATAATATATGGAACATTTCGAATAAGACATTTGGCTCCTATATCTCCTTTGGTTTCAAGTAGTTAATTATTTCCAAGATCTCATTTTGATCATTTTGTGAAAGCAACCAGAGAAGCAGGTTAGATGGTTCTATACTCCCATGACCATTGGAGTAAAACAAGGCACAGGACTTAAATACACATCCTTTTATCTTCCTCTTGGGTCTTCTTATTTGTGCTTCACTGTTCACTAGGTTGATTTTGTCTTTGCTTTTGAGGATTTGAATTGTCAGATCCCACATTGTCTTCTCCATAAAACGTAATAAGATTAATTTCTTTCAGTCTGTAGTTTATTACTTATAGCACTAGAGTGTATCCGGCTGCTCTTGTCTACACTCATTCCAGAGGAGGAAAATGCTTTTGGAACATGGTGATGAAAAGCGTACACAATTTTCGAAATGAGATTTTAGTAGTGCATTGTACAATTTTTCATAACATCCCTTGGTTTAGATTCTGCACATTTAATTCTATATCCTAACTATTGTTAGATATAGTCAGATACTGAAGGCTCACAGCTGTCTACCCTGTTATCTTTCCCCAAATACTAGGTTCTGTGTTTAAGAATATGGGGATATAAGTGTTTTGAATATATAGTAGGACACACTGTGTCTTAATATGAAAAAAAGCATTTGTATAGTGGAACATATTTCCAGAGTCAGTGATATTCTGCTGTTTGCCAAGAGGTTCCACAATAATTTGTCAGCTTTATTTTCAGATGAGTGAACTGTGTGATACATCCATGTGGGTAAGTCATTCAGTGCAAAAAAAACTACTGAAGCCTAAGAAAAATCCTGAGAGGAGATGTTGAACTATAACAAATAACAAAGAGAACCACAGTGTTCTACTTTTCATCCACCTCAGTATAGAGTATGTAACCTGTTTGTGGAGATAGCCAGAGACATCTAGTTCTTGAGTTAACCTTATTCTTCTTCTTGAGCACAAGGTATTTGAGATTGTATAACCAAATCAGGGGTGGCGCAGTAGTTAATACTGCTGCCTTGCAGTGCTGGGATCCTGGATTCAATTCCAGGCCTGAGGTGTTACAGTCTCTGCAGGGCATTTCTGTGTTCTCCCCTTGGTCATGTGGGTTTCCTCCAGTTGCTCCTGGTTCCCTCCCGCACTCCAGAAACGGAAAACTAAGCCTGGTGTGAGGGGTCCCATCCAGGATGTATCATTCCTTGCACCCATTGCTTGCTGGAATAAGATCCAGCTCCGACATGTCCCTGAATTGGAAGAAACGGTTAGAAAATGGACGGAGAACAAAATCAGGTGATCAGTCTAGCTTCTAGCTTCTTGGTGGCATTCCATTTGGCATTAGCAGCGATGTTTTGTTCAATTTAATTATTTTCATTGATTATATCATATTTCCAAACTTCACAAGAGGCAAGAGGCTTTCCACAAGTTAATCACTACCCCCCCCCAGTCCCAGCCTTCTTACTAAAAATAATCAAAACCCAAAACCTTAAATTCTGATTAGAAATTGAATATAATAAACATAAGAAGTAAGTCTCAGCTATTGGACAGACAGATGTCATGATGCTAGTGGCATTAGGTTTTAAATGAAGACCTGTATACCTTTGAAATACAGGTCTTTGAAAGAAATTACTTACTTTAGGTAGTTTTTGGGTAGTTTTGTAATAATTACATACTGTATTAACCAGATAGGTCAGTTGAGAACTGACTAATGTATAATAACACCTTATACTTGGAAGAAGAAACAAAAATGTATACCATTTTAGCACACCAGACAAAGAGCTGAAAAACTGCAGAAAATATTTTTTCATTCTTACTGAAAACACAGTCATCTACAAGGGTGAATAGCTGGAGCCCTCTCAGCTCATTGTTCTGGCAGCTGTCAGCTGCAAATTGAAGTGACTTGTGCTCAAAATTGGTAGTTGCACTTGGGTGGTTCAAATTCATGAAAATACTAGATCTTGAATTGTAAGATGACACAGAACTATAATGATATGAATCTATGAAGGTATTTTCCCTATTAAAGAAAATTGTAAATAAACTCAAAACAGTGAAGCATTTGTCTAGTGTGCAAAAAGTGCCAATCAAACAGAAATATCAAAAATATAAATGCAAATAGAGGCAACAGGATTGGACATGACCAATTTAAAGCCTTCCTTCCTGTTTGTTTCACCTTTGACTGGGGCACTTTTGTGTGGGTGGCATAGTGACACAGTGGTTGGGACTGCTGCGCTGCAGTCCTGAGGCCCTGGTTTCAATTCCTAAGGTGCTATCACCATGGAGTTTATATGTTGTCCTGTGTTCACATTGGGTTCTGCTCCAGTTTTGTCAGTCCAAAGACATGCTGGTAGGTTAATTGCCTCAGGGAAATTTGACATTGGTGTGAGTATTGTTTTGTTTGACTCTGTGTATGCCCGGCAATGGACTGGCGTCCTGTCCAGAGTGTATGTTGCCTTGGACCCATTGCTTGGCAGAATAGACATCAGCTCCCCTGCTGCCCTGAATTGGATAAAGCACTTAGAAAGCAGATGGATGGATGGTGCACTTTTTCCCCTGAGTAAATTCTGTTGTAGTTTATTAATCAAGGTTCATGAAAGATTGTAAGATTATTTTATTACAGTATTGGTTTGTAAACAAGCAATATGTGACAGCTGTGCTGCACATACTGTAAAAACAAAACAACTGTGGAATCATTTGGAAATTTTAGGAAACTAATTTTCTCCAAATTAAATACTTCAACTTGGTTTCTTAGATCTTGCATCATTGGTGTAATACTGTGACAGAGATTTGAATAAAACTATACACCATGAATAAGGAATGAAGGGCTGAACTGCAGGCATTATGTCAACAGTACTGGAAAGTAAAATTGGTTTGTTTGTAGCGCTAAAGAACATAACAGCATTTGTGATACTGAAGCATCCAGGAATACCCAACAGCATTCCAGCATACTGTAATTTCCAAATCTTAGGATGAAGATGCTAGAGTACTGTTCTGACAGGCCATCACTGAGACATGTGATGTCAAAGCTGCAGCCATCAGTCTCCTGGTAACTCGTCTTGTCTTAATAATATATGAGTCCATTCATGGATTTTATTCCAGTTTTAACTTACAGGTGTGTAACAGAATTTATACATGTAGTCTGTTTCAGTCGTAACTGTAAAATACATGTATTCTGTGGTTCAGAAAAATAAAGTATGCACGACACCACAAATACCAACAATACAGGGCTTCAGTATTTTCCCTCAGTTATAT